CTCAGTGATTAACATTGAACCCTGTGGGAGTCTTAGTCTGGATCTGCGAGTCTTAGTGATTAACACTGAACCCTGTGGGAGCCTTAGTCTGGCTCTTTGAGCCTCAGTGATTAACACTGAACCCTGTGGGAGCCTTAGTCTGGCTCTGTGAGTCTCAGTGATTAACACTGAACCCTGTGGGAGCCTTAGTCTGGCTCTGTGAGTCTCAGTGATTAACACGGAACCCTGTGGGAGCCTTAGTCTGGATCTGTGAGTCTCAGTGATTAACACGGAACCCTGTGGGAGCCTTAGTCTGGATCTGTGAGTCTCAGTGATTAACACTGAACCCTGTGGGAGCCTTAGTCTGGATCTGTGAGCCTCAGTGATTAACACTGAACCCTGTGGGAGCCTTAGTCTGGCTCTGTGAGTCTTAGTGATTAACACTGAACCCTGTGGGAGCCTTAGTCTGGCTCTGTGAGCCTCAGTGATTAACACTGAACCCTGTGGGAGCCTTAGTCTGGCTCTGTGAGTCTCCTCAGTGATTAACACTGAACCCTGTGGGAGCCTTAGTCTGGCTCTGTGAGTCTCAGTGATTAACACTGAACCCTGTGGGAGCCTTAGTCTGGCTCTGTGAGCCTCAGTGATTAACATTGAACCCTGTGGGAGTCTTAGTCTGGATCTGCGAGTCTTAGTGATTAACACTGAACCCTGTGGGAGCCTTAGTCTGGCTCTTTGAGCCTCAGTGATTAACACTGAACCCTGTGGGAGCCTTAGTCTGGCTCTGTGAGTCTCCTCAGTGATTAACACTGAACCCTGTGGGAGCCTTAGTCTGGATCTGCGAGTCTCAGTGATTAACACTGAACCCTGTGGGAGCCTTAGTCTGGCTCTGTGAGCCTCAGTGATTAACAATGAACCCTGTGGGAGTCTCAGTGATTAACAATGAACCCTGTGGGAGCCTCAGTCTGGATCTGCGAGTCTCAGTGATTAACACTGAACCCTGTGGGAGCCTTAGTCTGGCTCTTTGAGCCTCAGTGATTAACACTGAACCCTGTGGGAGCCTTAGTCTGGCTCTGTGAGTCTCAGTGATTAACACTGAACCCTGTGGGAGCCTTAGTCTGGCTCTGTGAGTCTCAGTGATTAACACGGAACCCTGTGGGAGCCTTAGTCTGGATCTGTGAGTCTCAGTGATTAACACGGAACCCTGTGGGAGCCTTAGTCTGGATCTGTGAGTCTCAGTGATTAACACTGAACCCTGTGGGAGCCTTAGTCTGGATCTGTGAGCCTCAGTGATTAACACTGAACCCTGTGGGAGCCTTAGTCTGGCTCTGTGAGTCTCCTCAGTGATTAACACTGAACCCTGTGGGAGCCTTAGTCTGGCTCTGTGAGCCTCAGTGATTAACAATGAACCCTGTGGGAGTCTCAGTGATTAACAATGAACCCTGTGGGAGCCTCAGTCTGGATCTGCGAGTCTCAGTGATTAACACTGAACCCTGTGGGAGCCTTAGTCTGGCTCTTTGAGCCTCAGTGATTAACACTGAACCCTGTGGGAGCCTTAGTCTGGCTCTGTGAGTCTCAGTGATTAACACTGAACCCTGTGGGAGCCTTAGTCTGGCTCTGTGAGTCTCAGTGATTAACACTGAACCCTGTGGGAGCCTTAGTCTGGCTCTGTGAGTCTCAGTGATTAACACTGAACCCTGTGGGAGCCTTAGTCTGTCTCTGTGAGCCTCAGTGATTAACACTGAACCCTGTGGGAGCCTCAGTCTGGGTCTGTGAGTCTCAGTGATTAACACTGAACCCTGTGGGAGCCTTAGTCTGGCTCTGTGTGTCTCAGTGATCAACACTGAACCCTGTGGGAGCCTTAGTCTGGCTCTATGAGTCTCAGTGATTAACACTGAACCCTGTGGGAGCCTTAGTCTGCCTCTGTGAGTCTCCCCAGTGATTAACACTGAACCCAGTGGGAGCCTTAGTCTGGCTCTGTGAGTCTCAGTGATTAACACTGAACCCTGTGGGAGCCTTAGTCTGGCTCTGTGAGTCTCCCCAGTGATTAACACTGAACCCTGTGGGAGCCTTAGTCTGGCTCTGTGAGTCTCAGTGATTAACACTGAACCCTGTGGGAGCCTTAGTCTGGCTCTATGAGTCTCAGTGATTAACACTGAACCCTGTGGTGGCCTTAGTCTGGCTCTATGAGTCTCAGTAATTAACACTGAACCCTGTGGGAGCCTTAGTCTGGCTCTGTGAGTCTCAGTGATTAACACTGAACCCTGTGGTGGCCTTAGTCTGGCTCTATGAGTCTCAGTAATTAACACTGAACCCTGTGGGAGCCTTAGTCTGGCTCTGTGAGTCTCAGTGATTAACACTGAACCCTGTGGGAGCCTTAGTCTGGCTCTGTGAGCCTCAGTGATTAACACTGAACCCTGTGGGAGTCTTAGTCTGGCTCTGTGAGTCTCAGTGATTAACACTGAACCTTGTGGGAGCCTCAGTCTGGCTCTGTGTGTGTATCTCTGTGTGTGTGTATCTCTGCGTGTATCTGTGTGTATCGGAGCGTGCGTGTGTGTGTGTCTGTGTGTGTATATCTGTGTGTGTGTATCTGCGCGTGTGTGTGTGTCTATCGGTGTGTGTGCATCTCTGCGTGTATCTGTGCGTGTGTGTGTATGTCTGCGTGTGTGTGTGTAAAAGTGCGTGTGTCTGCGTGTGTGTGTAAAGGTGCGAGTGTCTGTGTGTGTGTGTGTAAAGGCGCGTGTGTGTGTAAAGGTGTCTGCGTGTGTGTGTAAAGGTGCGAGTGTCTGTGTGTGTGTAAAGGTGCGAGTGTCTGTGTGTGTGTGTAAAGGTGTGTGTGTCTGCATGTGTGTGTGTGTGTAAAGGTGCGTGTGTCTGTGTGTGTGTGTAAAGGTGTGTGTGTCTGCATGTGTGTGTGTGTGTAAAGGTGCGTGTGTCTGTGTGTGTGTGTAAAGGTGTGTGTGTCTGCATGTGTGTGTGTGTAAAGGTGCGAGTGTCTGTCTGTGTGTGTAAAGGTGTGTGTGTCTGCATGTGTGTGTGTGTGTAAAGGTGCGAGTGTCTGTCTGTGTGTGTAAAGGTGTGTGTGTCTGCATGTGTGTGTGTGTGTAAAGGTGTGTGTGTCTGCATGTGTGTGTGTGTGTAACGGTGCGTGTGTCTGCGTGTCTGCGTGTGTGTCTGCGTGTGTCTGCGTGTGGATCTCTGCGTGTCTGCGAGTGTCTGCGTGCGTGTCTGCGCGTGTCTGCGTGTGGATCTCTGCGTGTGTCTGCGTGTGGATCTCTGCGTGTCTGCGAGTGTCTGCGTGCGTGTCTGCGCGTGTCTGCGTGTGGATCTCTGCGTGTGGATCTCTGCGTGTGTCTGCGTGTGTCTGTGCGTGTCTCTGCGCGTGCCGCTAACCCCTTGAGGTAGGCGGCGAACTGGAGCGGCTGTGGTAGGAGCGAATCCGCTGCGTCAAACCCGGGGCTCGCCAGCGAGCCCACATACTGGCACAAGCAGCGCCAGTAGATGGCCACTTCGGGTGTGAGTTCTCCCACCGGCACCAGCCTCCTGCAGGGGGAGAGCAGGCGGGGAGACGGGGCAGAGCAGAGGACACGGACGACTCTTGTGTCTCCCTCACATCGCCTCTCCCGGAAACCTCCGTCAAACGTCACCTCACTCACTCAGTCAGTCAGTCACTAAGTCAGTCATTCACTCACTCACTCATACACTCACTCACTCACACACTCACTCATACACTCACTCTCATCACTCACATCACTCACTCACTCTCATCACTTACACTCATCACTCACTCACTCTCATCACTCATCACTCACTCTCATCACTCACTCATCACTCACTCTCATCACTTACACTCACTCATACACTCACTCACTCACTAATACACTCATCACACACTCACTCTCATCACTCACTCACTCATCACTCACTCTCATCACTCACTCACTCTCATCACTTACACCCATCACTCACTCACTCACTCATCATACACTCACTCACTCTCATCACTCACTCACTCATCACTCTCATCACTCACTCACTCATACACTCACTCACTCATCACTCACTCTCATCACTCACTCACTCATACACTCACTCACTCATTCTCATCACTCACTCACTCACTCCCTCCCCACCACTGACCGCTCGTCCAGGAAGCTACACAGCTGCACGAGGTCGCTAGGCTTGGCAGGGCGGAAGAGGGCCCTCAGCACTCACTCACTCTCATCACTCACTCACTCACTCACCACTCACTCTCATCACTCACTCTCATCACTCACTCACTCACTAACACTCATCACTCACTCACATCACTCACTCACTAACACTCATCACTCACTCACTCATCACTCACTCACTCACTCTCATCACTCACTCACTCACTCTCATCACTCACTCACTCACTCTCATCACTCACTCACTCTCATCACTCACTCACTCACTCATCACTCACTGTCATCACTTACACTCATCACTCACTCTCATCACTCACTGACCTCTCGTCCAGGAAGCTACACAGCTGCACGAGGTCGCTAGGCTTGGCAGGGCGGAAGAGGGCCCTCATCACTCACTCATCACTCACTCACTGTCATCACTCACTCATCACTCACTCTCATCACTCACTCACTCACTCCCTCACTCATCACTCTCTCACTCACTCTCATCACTTACACTCATCACTCACTCACTCTCATCACTCACTCACTCTCATCACTCACTCACTCATACACTCACTCACCACTCTCTCACTCCCTCCCCACCACTGACCGCTCGTCCAGGAAGCTACACAGCTGCACGAGGTCGCTAGGCTTGGCAGGGCGGAAGAGGGCCCTCATCACTCACTCACTGTCATCACTCACTCACTGTCATCACTTACACTCATCACTCACTCACTCACTCATCACTCACTCTCATCACTCACTGTCATCACTCACTCACTCTCATCACTCACTCACTGTCATCACTTACTGTCATCACTTACACTCATCACTCACTCACATCACTCACTCACATCACTCACTCACTCATCACTCACTCACTAACACTCATCACTCACTCACATCACTCACTCATCACTCACTCATCACTCACTCACTCTGATCACTCACTCTGATCACTCACTCATCACTCACTCACTCATACACTCACTCACTCATACACTCACGCTTATCACTCACTCACTCATACACTCACTCACTCTCATCACTCACTCATCACTCACTCACTGTCATCACTTACACTCATCACACACACTCATCACACACACTCATACACTCACTCATCACACACACTCATACACTCACTCATACACTCACTGTCATCACTCACTCACTCATCACTCACTCACTGTCATCACTCACTCATCACTCACTCATCACTCACTCCCTCCCCACCACTGACCGCTCGTCCAGGAAGCTACACAGCTGCACGAGGTCGCTAGGCTTGGCAGGGCGGAAGAGGGCCCTCATCACTCACTCACTTACTCATCACTCACTCACTCACTGTCATCACTTACACTCATCACTCACTCACTCTCATCACTCACTCACTGACCGCTCGTCCAGGAAGCTACACAGCTGCACGAGGTCGCTAGGCTTGGCAGGGCGGAAGAGGGCCCTCAGCACTCACTCACTGTCATCACTCACTCATCACTCACTTACTCATCACTCACTCACTCTCATCACTCACTGACCGCTCGTCCAGGAAGCTACACAGCTGCACGAGGTCGCTAGGCTTGGCAGGGCGGAAGAGGGCCCTCATCACTCACTCACTCACATCACTCACTCACTCATACACTCGCTCATACACTCACTCACTCATACACTCACTCACTCACTCATACACTCACTCACTCATACACTCACTCACTCATACACTCACTCACTCATACACTCACTCACTCTCATCACTCACTCACTCATCACTCACTGACCGCTCGTCCAGGAAGCTACACAGCTGCACGAGGTCGCTAGGCTTGGCAGGGCGGAAGAGGGCCCTCATCACTTACTCACTGTCATCACTCACTCATCACTCACTCACTCACTCACGTACATCACTCACTCATCACTCACTCACTCACTCATCACTCACTCACTCATACACTCGCTCACTCATACACTCGCTCACTCATACACTCGCTCACTCACTCATACACTCACTCACTCATACACTCACTCACTCATACACTCGCTCATACACTCACTCACTCATACACTCACTCATCACTCACTCACTCACTCTCTCACTCACTCATCACTCACTCACTCCCTCCCCTCCCCACCACCACTGACCGCTCGTCCAGGAAGCTACACAGCTGCACGAGGTCGCTAGGCTTGGCAGGGCGGAAGAGGGCCCTCAGCACTTACTCACTGTCATCACTTACTGTCATCACTCACTCACTCATCACTCACTCTCTCTCTCCCCTCCCCATCACTGACCTCTCGTCCAAGAAGCTACACAGCTGCACGAGGTCGCTAGGCTTGGCAGGGCGGAAGAGGGCCCTCAGCACTCACTCACTCACTCATCACTCACTCACTGTCATCACTCACTCATCACTCACTCACTCATCACTCACTCCCTCCCCACCACTGACCTCTCGTCCAGGAAGCTACACAGCTGCACGAGGTCGCTAGGCTTGGCAGGGCGGAAGAGGGCCCTCATCACTCACTCTCTCTCTCCCCTCCCCACCACTGACCTCTCGTCCAGGAAGCTACACAGCTGCACGAGGTCGCTAGGCTTGGCAGGGCGGAAGAGGGCCCTCAGCACTCACTCACTGTCATCACTCACTCATCACTCACTTACTCATCACTCACTCACTCTCATCACTCACTGACCGCTCGTCCAGGAAGCTACACAGCTGCACGAGGTCGCTAGGCTTGGCAGGGCGGAAGAGGGCCCTCAGCACTTACTCACTGTCATCACTCACTCACTCTCATCACTTACTCACTAACACTCTCATCACTCACTCACTCACTGACCTCTCGTCCAGGAAGCTACACAGCTGCACGAGGTCGCTAGGCTTGGCAGGGCGGAAGAGGGCCCTCAGCACTCACTCACTGTCATCACTCACTCACTCTCATCACTTACTCACTAACACTCTCATCACTCACTCACTCACTGACCTCTCGTCCAGGAAGCTACACAGCTGCACGAGGTCGCTAGGCTTGGCAGGGCGGAAGAGGGCCCTCAGCACGGAGGCGGCCAGCTCCTCGTCGCCCTCGGCGTCAAGGAGACGCAGCAGATGCAGAGCGTCTCCCTCCAGGGAGCGCAGCCAGCCCTGGAGCAGGCTGGAGCTCACGCACGCACGCACATCCTCTACACACACACAGATATATACACAGATAAATACACACACATATACACACACACACACACACGCACACACACACACGCACACATACACACACACACATACACACACACACACACATCCTCTACACACACACACACAGACACACACACGCAGATAAATACACACACATATATACACACACACGCACATCCTCTACACACACACACACACACAGATAAATACACACACATATACACACACACACACATCCTCTACACACACACACACACACAGATATACATATAGACACACACACAGATATACATATAGACACACACACACAGATATATACACACACACACACACGCACATCCTCTACACACACACACACACAGACACACAGATATACACACACACGCACGCACATCCTCTACACACACACACACAGATATACATATAGACACACACACACAGATATATACACACACACACGCACGCACATCCTCTACACACACACACACAGACACACACAGATAAATACACACACATATACACACACACACATCCTCTACACACACACACACACAGATATACATATAGACACACACACGCACATCCTCTACACACACACACACACACGCAGACATACATACAGATATACACACAGATATACACACAGATATATACACACACACACAGATATATACACACACACACACACACGCAGATAAATACACACACATATATACACACACACACGCACGCACATCCTCTACACACACACACACAGATATACACACACACACAGACACACACACACACACAGATATATACATATAGACACACACACACACATCCTCTACACACACACACACAGTCACACACACACACTAACACAACAAAGACAAAGATCCCCCATATAGCCTTAACAGACTGTAGGGGCAAGTGCTGTTAGCGAGCACCTATGAAGGCCGGAACGGTACACAAGGGGGTGGGTGGCCAGCACCACGCCCGACCGCCTTTGTCTCCCTAGTGGCGATGTTTACTACACACCGCACCAGGTACTCATTTGAGGCTGAGTCGACCTAGGGGAGGCCCGGGACCGGTTCAGATAATCGTCACTGGTGTTGGTCGTGAGCAGGAATCGAACCCGGGTCGCCAGGTTCGTAGCGCAGTGTGCTAACCGCTACACACACACACACTTACACACACCTACACACACACTCACCCATCCACCCACTCACCCACCCACCCATACATCCACCCACTCAGCTACCCAACCACCCACTCACCCACTCACTTACCCACCCAAACACCCACTCACTCAGCCACCCACCCACTCACTCACCCACCAACCCACTTACTCACTCAGCCACTCACCCACCCACCCACTTACTCACTCAGCCACCCACCCACTCAGCCACCCACCCACTCAGCCACCCACCCACTCACTCAGCCACCCACTCACCCAGCCACTCACTCACCCACCCACCCCTGCATGGCGTAACAACTCAGTGGCTGGCACCGTCCTCCCCTTAGGTCCGCTCAGTGAGAAGAGGAGCTCACCGGAGCGGTCCTTGAGTCCCTGGTCGAGGAGTTTGACGCGCTGGGCGATGGTCAGGGTCCTGATGTGGACCTTGTCAGCCAACACCTACACACACACACACAGGTACACACACACACAGATAAACACACACAGATACACACACACACACAGGTACACACACAGATACACACACACAGATACACACACACACAGATACACACACACACACAGATAAACACACACAGATATACACACACACAGATACACACACACACACACAGATAAACACACACAGATATACACACACACATACACACACACGTACACAGATAAACACACGCAGATAAACACACGCAGATAAACACACACACACACATACACACACAGATATACACACACACATACACACACACATACACACACACAGACACACACACACAGATACACACACAGACACACACACACAGATACATACACAGACACACACACACAGATACACACACAGACACACACACACAGATACACACACACACACAGATACACACACCACACACAGATACACACACCACACACACACAGATACACACACCACACACACACAGATACACACACCACACACACACAGATACACACACCACACACACACAGATACACACACCACACACACACAGATACACACACCACACATACACAGATACACACACACACACAGATACACACACACACACACACAGATACACACACACACAGATACACACACACACACAGATACACAAATGCACACACAAATGCACACACACACACAGATACACAAATGCACACACAAATGCACACACACACACAGATACACACACACACACACAAATGCACACACACACAGATACACACACACAGATACACACAGACACACAGATACACACACACAGATACACACACACATACACACACACAGATACACACACACACATACACACACACAGATACACACCAACACCTACACACACACATACACACACACACACAGATGCAGACACACACAGATACAGACACACACAGATACCTACACACCAACATCTACACACACACACAGAGACAGATACAGAGAGATATAGAGATACACACATACCTACACACCAACACCTACACACCAACACCTACACACGCACAGAGACAGAGGGAGATACAGAGATACACACACACCTACACACACACACACAGGGATACACACACACAGAGAGAGATACAGAGAAAGTCACTGTCTCCTTGCTGCTCCTCGCTACTAACAGCACTTGCCCCCACAGCTCTGCCAAAGGCTACCTGGGGGAGCTTTGTCTGTGTCTCAGCACGTGCCCCTACAGCCCTGCTAGAGGCTACCTGGGGGAGCTTTGTCTCTGTCTCAGCACTTGCCCCTACAGCCCTGCCAGAGGCTACCTGGGGGAGCTTTGCCTGTGTCTATGTGCGGGTCACCTGGTACGCACCGCTGCTGCTACACGCTACCAACAGCACTTGCCCCTTTAGCCCTGCCAGAGGCTACCCGGGGGAGCTTTGCCTGTGTCTGTGTGCGGGTCACCTGGTACGCACCGCTGCTGCTACACGCTACCAACAGCACTTGCCCCTTTAGCCCTGCCAGAGGCTACCTGGGGGAGCTTTGTCTGTGTCTGTGTGCGGGTCACCTGGTACGCCAGCTTGCGAATGTTCTCACGCACGTCCCTGGTCCGGCGAAGGACCAGCGGCAGGGTGCGGGCGCAGAGACACACGGAGCTCAGGGCAGCTCGTCGCACCTCGGGGCTGGGATCCAACTCCACCAGCACCTCGTAGGCTACACACAGAGACACACAGACACACACACACAGAGACACAGAGACATACACACACAGTGACACACAGACACACACAGAGACACACGGAGCTCAGGGCAACTCGTCGCACCTCGGGGCTGGGATCCAACTCCACCAGCACCTCGTAGGCTACACACAGAGACACAGAGACACAGAGACACACGCAGAGACACACACAGAGACACAGAGACACACACAGACACACACAGAGACACACAGAGACACACGGAGCTCAGGGCAGCTCGTCGCACCTCGGGGCTGGGATCCAACTCCACCAGCACCTCGTAGGCTAACACACAGAGACACACACAGAGACACACACACACAGAGACACACAGTGACACACAGACACACACAGAGACACACGGAGCCCAGGGCAGCTCGTCGCACCTCGGGGCTGGGATCCAACTCCACCAGCACCTCGTAGGCTACACAGACACACACAGAGACACACACAGAGACACACAGTGACACACAGACACACACAGAGACACACGGAGCTCAGGGCAGCTCGTCGCACCTCGGGGCTGGGATCCAACTCCACCAGCACCTCGTAGGCTACACACAGAGACACACACACAGTGACACACAGAGACACACACACACAGAGACACACAGACACACACAGAGACACATACAGACACACAGTGACACACGGACACACACACACACAGAGACACACGGAGCTCAGGGCAGCTCGTCGCACCTCGGGGCTGGGATCCAACTCCACCAGCACCTCGTAGGCTAACACAGAGACACACACACAGTGACACACAGAGACACACACACACACAGACACACACAGTGACACACACACAGAGACACACGGAGCTCAGGGCAGCTCGTCGCACCTCGGGGCTGGGATCCAACTCCACCAGCACCTCGTAGGCTACACACAGAGACACAGAGACACACAGAGACACACACAGAGACACACACACAGTGACACAGAGACACACACAGAGACACACGGAGCTCAGGGCAGCTCGTCGCACCTCGGGGCTGGGATCCAACTCCACCAGCACCTCGTAGGCTACACAGACACACACAGAGACACACACAGAGACACACACAGTGACACACACACACAGAGACACACACACACACAGAGACACACACAGAGACACACACACAGTGACACAGAGACACACACAGAGACACACGGAGCTCAGGGCAGCTCGTCGCACCTCGGGGCTGGGATCCAACTCCACCAGCACCTCGTAGGCTAACACAGAGACACACACACAGTGACACACAGAGACACACACACACACAGACACACAGACACACACAGAGACACATACAGACACACAGTGACACACGGACACACACACACACAGAGACACACGGAGCTCAGGGCAGCTCGTCGCACCTCGGGGCTGGGATCCAACTCCACCAGCACCTCGTAGGCTACACACAGAGACAGAGAGACACACACACAGAGAGCCACACACAGTGACACACGGACACACACACAGAGACACACACACACAGTGACACAGAGACACACACACAGACACACACACGCACAGACACACACAGACACACACAGAGACACACGGAGCTCAGGGCAGCTCGTCGCACCTCGGGGCTGGGATCCAACTCCACCAGCACCTCGTAGGCTACACAGACACAGTGACACACACACAGTGACACACACACAGTGACACACACACAGAGACACACACACAGAGACAGACACACACACAGACACACACACACAGTGACACACGGACACACACACACAGTGACACACGGACACACACACACAGACACACACAGAGACACACGGAGCTCAGGGCAGCTTGTCGCACCTCGGGGCTGGGATCCAACTCCACCAGCACCTCGTAGGCTAACACAGAGACACAGAGACACACACAGACACAAAGAGACACACACAGAGGGCGACTGCCTCCAACTGCCCAGTAGCGTCCTTCACGAGCCTCCTCCACAGAGGCCGATCTTGACACCGCTGGTACCAGTCATCGGCAAGTCCACTCAGCTCCACGTCCTCCTGTACCACATCACTCCATCTCCTCTCTAGACCGTTTAAGCCCCATCAATCCAGCAGAACAAAAGCTGTTTCGGCATGCGGTGGCTGGGCATACGGGCTACATGACCCACCCATCGCAGCCTTGCCCGCCGGAGGAGCTCACCGATGGGACCTTGCCCAGATCTTTCAAGGATTTGTGAGCTCCTCACACAATCCAGTCTGGTCAAACCCAGGATGGATCGTAGGCAGGCCAGCCTAAATGTTTCTAACCGGCGAAGATGTTCCATTAGGGGGGTCCACGTTTCGCAAGCATAGAGAAGGGAGGGAATGACCGTGGCCGAGAAGACCTGAAGCTTAGTGCGGAGCGACAGACCAGGTAGCTTCCACACAGCGTTACGCAACCGATGAAAAGATATTGCCGCTCGACTGATTCGGAGTGAGACCTCTGCTGCTAAATTGGAGCCGGTCATAAGCACACTGCCCAGGTATGGGAAACTCTCCACTCTCTCCACAACTGCCCCATCACCGATTGGGAGTTGTGGGGGTGGAGTGTCCGATGGTACAAAATACCCAGGCAGGTGCTTAGTTTTGGTGGGGCTGATGGTAAGGCCCCACCTCTTAGTGGCATGCTCCACAGTGACACACAGTGACACACACACAGTGACACACACACAGAGACACACACACACACAGACACACACACAGACAGACACACACACACACAGAGACACACACACACAGAGACACACACACAGACAGACACACACAGAGACACACACACACAGACACACACACACACAGTGATACACACATACACAGTGACACACACAGAGACACAGTGACACAGTGACACAGACACACAGAGACACACGGAGCCCAGGGCAGCTCGTCGCACCTCGGGGCTGGGATAAAACTCCACCAGCACCACGTAGGCTACACACAGAGACACACACAGAGAGACACACAGAGACACACAGAGACACACACACAGACACACACACACAGACGCACACACACACAGTGACACACACACACACAGTGACACACACAGACACACGCACACACAGAGACACACACAGACAGACACACACACACAGAGACACACACACAGAGACACACACACAGTGACACACACAGAGACCCACAGAGACCCACAGAGACCCACCCTCTAATCACCTTAATCTCTTCCCCCACCACCATCACCACCACCACCATCACCACCACCACCACCCCCACACACCACCACCACCACCACCCTCACCCCCACCACCACCACCACCCCCACCACCCCCACCACCACCACCATCACCACCACCACCACCCCCACACACCACCACCACCCTCACCCCCACCACCACCACCACCCTCACCCCCACCACCCCCACACACCACCACCACCCTCACCCCCACCACCCCCACCACCCCCACCACCATCACCACCTCCCCCAACCCTCCCCACCACCACCACCACCCTCACCCCCCCCCAACCCTCCCCACCACCACCACCACCAACCCTCCCCACCACCACCCTCACCACCGCCACCACCCGCCGCCCTCACCAGCGATGACGGGGCAGCGTGGCTCCGTGGGCTCCTGCAGGCGGGCAAGGGCTCCTGCAGCACGTGCCCTGACGCTGGGCGCCCGGTCGCGAGCCCTCGCCAGCAGCGCTGAGCGCAGGCGGGCGTGAAGGCGCGCCCCGAGGCAAGCCGCCTCACCCAGCTGGAGCAGCACCAGGCACAGCAGCTGGCACGAGCGGAAGCGCACAGACTGCCGGCGTGCAGCATGGCACTGGGGGGTTGTGTGGTGGTGGTGGTGTGGTGGTGTGGTGAGGGTGGTGAGGGTGGTGAGGGTGGTGAGGGTGTGTGTGGGGGTAGGGATGTGTGTGGGTAGGGGTGTGGGGGTGGTGTGTGGTGTGTGGTGGTGGTGTGTGGTGTGTGGTGGTGTGTGGTGGTGTGTGGTGGTGTGGTGGTGTGTGGGGGTAGGGGTGTGTGGGGTGGTGTGTGGTGTGTGGTGTGTGGGGGTGTGTGGTGGTGGTGTGTGGTGTGTGGGGGTTGTGGTGGTGGTGTGTGGTGTGTGGGGGGTGGTGGTGTGTGGTGTGTGGGGGTGGTGGTGGTGTGTGGGGGTGGTGGTGTGTGTGGTGTGTGGTGGTGGTGGTGGTGTGTGGGGTGTGTGTGGTGTGTGGTGTGTGGGGGTTGTGGTGGTGTGTGGTGGTGTGTGGTGTGTGGTGTGTGTGGGTGGTGTGTGGGGGTAGGGTGTGTGGTGTGTGGTGTGTGGTGGTGTGTGGTGTGTGGTGTGTGGGGGTGGTGTGTGGGGGTGTGTGGTGAGGTGGTGAGGGTGGTGGTGGTGTGTGGTGAGATGGTGAGGGTGGTGGTGGTGTGTGGTGTGTGGTGAGGGTGGTGGGGGGTGGTGGTGAGTGGTGTGTGGGGGTGAGGGTGGTGGTGGTGGTGTGTGGGTGGTGTGTGGGGTTGGTTGTGGTGGTGTGTGGGGGTGTGTGGGGGTGTGTGGTTAGGGTATGGTGGTGGTGTGTGGTGGTGAGGGTGGTGTGTGTGGTGTGTGGTGGGGGTGGTGGTGGAGGTGATGGTGATGGTTATGGTGGTGGTGGTGGTCATGGTGGTGATGGTGTTGATGGTGGTGGTGGTAGTGGTGATGGTGGTGTGGTGGTGTGTGGTGTGGGGGTGTGTGGTGTGTGGTGGTGGTGTGTGTGGTGGTGGTGGTGTGTGGGGGTGGTGGTGTGTGGGGTGGTGGTGTGTGGTGTGTGGTGTGTGGGGGTGGTGGTGTGTGGGGGTGAGGGTGGTGGTGGTGGGTGTGGTGTGTGGGGGTGGTGGTGGTGGTGGTGGTGTGTGGGGGTGGTGTGTGGGGGTGGTGGTGTGTGGGGGTGAGGGTGGTGGTGGTGGGTGTGGTGTGTGGTGTGTGGGGGTGGTGGTGGTGGTGGTGGTGTGTGGGGGTGTGTGGGGTGGTGAGAGTGGTGTGTGGTGGTGGTGGTGGGGGTGGTAGGGGTGGTGGGGGAAGAGATTACGGTGATTAGAGGGTGGGTCTCGTGGGTCTGTGTGTGTGGGTCTCTGTGGGTCTCTGTGGGTCTCTGTAGGTCACTGTGGGTCTCTATGAGTCTCTGTGGGTCTCTGTGGGTCTCTGTGTGGATCTATGCATCTCTGTGGGTCTCTGTGTGTGTCTCTGTGAGTCTCTGTGAGTCTCTGTGAGTCTCTGTGGGTCTCTGTGGGTCTCTGTAGGTCTGTGTGGGTCTGTGTGGGTCTGTGTGGGTCTGTGTGGGTCTCTGTGGGTCTCTATGGGTCTCTGTGCGTCTCTGTGCGTCTCTGCGGGCCTCTCACTTTGAGCAGGAAGTCGTAGAAGTGCGTGAGGAGCGTCTCCTCCTCCTCCTCCTCCTCCTCCTCCTCCTCCTCCTCCTCCTTCTCCTCCTCCTCCTCCTCGTCGCCGCGGCCGCTGCCGCCGGCCTGGAAGGATGCCGCGAATCTGGCGGCAAAGTTGACGAGGCGCTCCACCTGAGGCTCTCGGCGAGCGGTGAGCAGCATCAGGTGCCTGACGTGGGACAGGAACTCCTCCAGGAAGGCGGCGGGGTCCTCCGTCTGTCGTGGTGGCGGTGGGTGAGGGTGAGGGTGTGAGGGGGTGGGGGTGTGAGGGGGTGAGGGTGAGACAGGGGATGAGACAGGGGGTGAGGGTGAGAGACAGGGGGTGAGAGACAGGGGGTGAGACAGGGGGTGAGGGTGAGAGACAGGGGGTGAGGGTGAGAGACAGGGGGTGAGACAGGGGGTGAGACAGGGGGTGAGGGTGAGAGACAGAGGGTGAGACAGGGGGTGAGGGTGAGAGACAGGGGGTGAGACAGGGGGTGAGGGTGAGAGACAGGGGGTGAGACAGGGGGTGAGACAGGGGGTGAGGGTGAGAGACAGAGGGTGAGACAGGGGGTGAGGGTGAGAGACAGGGGGTGAGACAGGGGGTGAGGGTGAGAGACAGGGGGTGAGACAGGGGGTGAGGGTGAGAGACAGGGGGTGAGACAGGGGGTGAGGGTGAGAGACAGGGGGTGAGACAGGGGGTGAGGGTGAGAGACAGGGGGTGAGACAGGGGGTGAGGGTGAGAGACAGAGGGTGAGACAGGGGGTGAGGGTGAGAGACAGGGGGTGAGACAGGGGGTGAGGGTGAGAGACAGGGGGTGAGACAGGGGGTGAGGGTGAGAGACAGGGGGTGAGACAGGGGGTGAGGGTGAGAGACAGGGGGTGAGACAGGGGGTGAGGGTGAGAGACAGGGGGTGAGACAGGGGGTGAGGGTGAGAGACAGGGGGTGAGAGACAGGGGGTGAGACAGGGGGTGAGGGTGAGAGACAGGGGGTGAGAGACAGGGGGTGAGACAGGGGGTGAGAGTGAGAGACAGGGGGTGAGACAGGGGGTGAGACAGGGGGTGAGGGTGAGAGACAGGGTGAGAGACAGGGGGTGAGACAGGGGGTGAGGGTGAGAGACAGGGTGAGAGACAGGGGGTGAGACAGGGGGTGAGAGTGAGAGACAGGGGGTGAGACAGGGGGTGAGGGTGAGAGACAGGGGGTGAGACAGGGGGTGAGGGTGAGAGACAGGGGGTGAGACAGGGGGTGAGGGTGAGAGACAGGGGGTGAGAGACAGGGGGTGAGACAGGGGGTGAGGGTGAGAGACAGGGGGTGAGAGACAGGGGGTGAGACAGGGGGTGAGAGTGAGAGACAGGGGGTGAGACAGGGGGTGAGACAGGGGGTGAGGGTGAGAGACAGGGTGAGAGACAGGGGGTGAGACAGGGGGTGAGGGTGAGAGACAGGGTGAGAGACAGGGGGTGAGACAGGGGGTGAGAGTGAGAGACAGGGGGTGAGACAGGGGGTGAGGGTGAGAGACAGGGGGTGAGACAGGGGGTGAGGGTGAGAGACAGAGGGTGAGACAAGGGGTGAGACAGGGGGTGAGGGTGAGAGACAGGGTGAGAGACAGGGGGTGAGACAAGGGGTGAGACAGGGGGTGAGGGTGAGAGACAGGGTGAGAGACAGGGGGTGAGACAGGGGGTGAGGGTGAGAGACAGGGTGAGAGACAGGGGGTGAGACAGGGGGTGAGGGTGAGAGACAGGGTGAGAGACAGGGGGTAAGACAGGGGGTGAGGGTGAGAGACAGGGTGAGAGACAGTGGGTGAGACAGGGGGTGAGGGTGAGAGACAGGGGGTGAGAGACAGGGGGTGAGACAGGGGGTGAGGGTGAGAGACAGGGGGTGAGACAGGGGGTGAGGGTGAGAGACAGGGGGTGAGACAGGGGGTGAGGGTGAGAGACAGGGGGTGAGACAGGGGGTGAGGGTGAGAGACAGGGGGTGAGACAGGGGGTGAGACAGGGGGTGAGGGTGAGAGACAGGGTGAGAGACAGGGGGTGAGACAGGGGGTGAGGGTGAGAGACAGGGTGAGAGACAGGGGGTGAGGGTGAGAGACAGGGTGAGAGACAGGGTGAGAGACAGGGGGTGAGACAGGGGGTGAGGGTGAGAGACAGGGTGAGAGACAGGGGGTGAGACAGGGGGTGAGGGTGAGAGACAGGGGGTGAGACAGGGGGTGAGGGTGAGAGACAGAGGGTGAGACAGGGGGTGAGGGTGAGAGACAGGGGGTGAGACAGGGGGTGAGGGTGAGAGACAGGGTGAGAGACAGGGGGTGACGGTGAGAGACAGGGGGTGAGACAGGGGGTGAGACAGGGGGTGAGGGTGAGAGACAGGGGGTGAGACAGGGGGTGAGGGTGAGAGACAGGGGGTGAGACAGGGGGTGAGGGTGAGAGACAGGGGGTGAGACAAGGGGTGAGACAGGGGGTGAGGGTGAGAGACAGGGGGTGAGAGACAGGGGGTGAGACAGGGGGTGAGAGACAGGGGGTGAGACAGGGGGTGAGGGTGAGAGACAGGGGGTGAGACAAGGGGTGAGACAGGGGGTGAGGGTGAGAGACAGGGGGTGAGACAGGGGGTGAGGGTGAGAGACAGGGGGTGAGAGACAGGGGGTGAGACAGGGGGTGAGAGACAGGGGGTGAGACAGGGGGTGAGGGTGAGAGACAGGGGGTGAGACAGGGGGTGAGGGTGAGAGACAGGGGGTGAGACAAGGGGTGAGACAGGGGGTGAGGGTGAGAGACAGGGGGTGAGACAGGGGGTGAGGGTGAGAGACAGGGGGTGAGAGACAGGGGGTGAGACAGGGGGTGAGAGACAGGGGGTGAGACAGGGGGTGAGGGTGAGAGACAGGGGGTGAGACAAGGGGTGAGACAGGGGGTGAGGGTGAGAGACAGGGGGTGAGACAGGGGGTGAGGGTGAGAGACAGGGGGTGAGACAGGGGGTGAGGGAGAGAGAGGGGGATGAGAGAGGGGGATTGCAGAGTAAGGAGAGTGGTGAGTGAGTGGTGAGTGAGTGGTGAGGGAGTGGTGAGTGAGCGAGTGGTGAGTGAGTGGTGAGTGAGCGAGTGGTGAGTGAGTGGTGAAGGAGTGGTGAGTGAGTGAGTGGTGAGTGAGTGGTGAGTGAGTGAGTGGTGAGTGAGTGGTGAGTGAGTGAGTGGTGAGTGAGTGAGTGAGTGGTGAGTGAGTGGGTGGGTGAGTGGTGAGTGAGTGAGTGAGTGGTGAGTGAGTGGTGGGTGAGTGAGTGAGTGAGTGGTGAGTGAGTGGTGAGTGAGTGAGTGGTGAGTGAGTGAGTGGTGAGTGAGTGGTGAGTGAGTGAGTGAGTGGTGAGTGAGTGGTGAGTGAGTGGTGGGTGAGTGAGTGAGTGAGTGGTGAGTGAGTGGTGAGTGAGTGAGTGGTGAGTGAGTGAGTGGGTGGGTGAGTGGTGAGTGAGTGAGTGAGTGGTGAGTGAGTGGTGGGTGAGTGAGTGAGTGAGTGGTGAGTGAGTGGTGAGTGAGTGAGTGAGTGGTGAGTGAGTGAGTGAGTGGTGAGTGAGTGGTGAGTGAGTGGTGAGTGAGTGGTGAGTGAGTGAGTGGTGAGTGAGTGAGTGAGTGGTGAGTGAGTGAGTGAGTGGTGAGTGAGTGAGTGAGTGGTGAGTGAGTGAGTGAGTGGTGAGTGAGTGAGTGAGTGGTGAGTGAGTGAGTGGGTGGGTGAGTGGTGAGTGAGTGAGTGAGTGAGTGGTGAGTGAGTGGTGGGTGAGTGAGTGAGTGAGTGGTGAGTGAGTGGTGAGTGAGTGAGTGAGTGGTGAGTGAGTGGTGGGTGAGTGAGTGAGTGAGTGGGTGGGTGAGTGGTGAGTGAGTGAGTGAGTGGTGAGTGAGTGGTGAGTGAGTGAGTGAGTGGTGAGTGAGTGAGTGAGTGGTGAGTGAGTGAGTGAGTGGTGAGTGAGTGAGTGAGTGGTGAGTGAGTGGTGAGTGAGTGGTGAGGAAGACGACAGAAGAGGATAGCGGAGTGAGACACCACAAGCCGGCACCACGGACCACAGCGGTGAAGTATGGTGATGGTGGTGGTGGTGATAGTGGTGGTGATGGTGGTGATGGCGGTGATGGTGGTGGTGATGGTGGTGGTGGTGGTGGTGATGGTGGTGATGGTGGTGATGGTGGTGATGGTGGTGATGGTGGTGGTGGTGATGGTGTTGGTGGCGTTGGTGGTGATGGTGGTGATGGTGGTGATGGTGGTGGTGATGGTGGTGATGGTGGTGATGGTGGTGATGGTGGTGATGGTGGTGGTGGCGTTGGTGTTGATGGTGGTGATGACAGTGGTGGTAGTGGTGATGGTGGTGATGGTGGTGGTGATGGTGGTGGTGGTGATGGTGGTGATGGTGGTGGTGATGGTGGTGGTGGTGATAGTGGTGGTGATGGTGGTGATGGTGGTGATGGTGGTGGTGGTGATAGTGGTGGTGATGGTGGTGATGGCGGTGATGGTGGTGGTGATGGTGGTGGTGATGGTGGTGATGGTGATGATGGTGGTGATGATGGTGGTAGTGATGGTGATGATGGTGGTGATGGTGGTGGTGGTGGTGATGGTGGTGGTGATGGTGGTGGTGATGATGGTGGTGGTGGCGTTGGTGTTGATGGTGGTGATGACAGTGGTGGTGGTGATGGTGTTGGTGGCGTTGGTGGTGATGGTGGTGATGGTGGTGATGGTGGTGATGGTGGTGGTGATGGTGGTGATGGTGGTGATGGTGGTGATGGTGGTGGTGGCGTTGGTGTTGATGGTGGTGATGACAGTGGTGGTGGTGGTGATGGTGGTGATGGTGGTGGTGATGGTGGTGGTGGTGATGGTGGTGGTAGTGGTGGTGATGGTGGTAGTGGTGGTGATAGTGGTGATGACAGTGGTGGTGGTGGTGATGGTGTTGGTGATGATGGTGGTGGTGTTGGTGGTGATGATGATGGTGGTGATGGTGGTGATGGTGGTGGTGGCGTTGGTGTTGATGGTGGTGATGACAGTGGTGGTGGTGATGGTGGTGGTGTTGGTGATGATGGTGGTGGTGTTGGTGGTGATGATGATGGTGGTGATGGTGGTGGTGGCGTTGGTGTTGATGGTGGTGATGACAGTGGTGGTGGTGATGGTGGTGGTGTTGGTGGTGTTGGCGGTGGTGTTGGTGGTGACGTTGGCGTTGGTGCTACCGCCAGCTGGCCGAGGTGCTCTCACCTGCCCGTGCAGCTCACGCAGGGAAGCGACGAGGCGCTCCTGGTTCACGTGCGGACGCTTGGCCAACTCGAAGGCCGCCCGGACAGAGTCCACCCGTGCCGGCCGCGCCGGAGCCATTGCCGGGCCGGTAGATGCACGCCGCTGGTGGTGGTGGTGGTCGCTGTGGGTCTCTGTGTGTGGGTCTGTGTGTGTGTGTCTCTGTGGGGCTCTGTGTGTGGGTCTCTGTGTGGGTCTGTGTGTGTGTGTCTGTGTGTGTGGGTCTGTGTATGTGGGTCTGTGTGTGGGTCTCTGTGTGTGTGTCTCTGTGTGTGTGTCTCTGTGTGTGTGTCTCTGTGTGTGTGTCTCTGTGTGTGTGTCTCTGTGTGTGGGTCTCTGTGTGTGGGTCTCTGTGTGTGGGTCTCTGTGTGTGGGTCTCTGTGTGTGGGTCTCTGTGTGTGGGTCTCTGTGTGTGGGTCTCTGTGTGTGGGTCTCTGTGTGTGGGTCTCTGTGTGTGGGTCTCTGTGTGTGGGTCTCTGTGTGTGGGTCTCTGTGTGTGGGTCTCTGTGTGTGGGTCTCTGTGTGTGGGTCTCTGTGTGTGGGTCTCTGTGTGTGGGGCTCTGTGTGTGGGTCTCTGTGTGGGTCTGTGTGTGTGTGTCTGTGTATGTGGGTCTGTGTATGTGGAGTCTGTGTGTGGGTCTGTGTGTGGGTCTCTGTGTGTGGGTCTCTGTGTGTGGGTCTCTGTGTGTGGGTCTCTGTGTGTGGGTCTCTGTGTGTGGGTCTCTGTGTGTGGGTCTCTGTGTGTGTGTGTCTCTGTGTGTGGGTCTCTGTGTGTGGGTCTCTGTGTGTGGGTCTCTGTGTGTGGGTCTCTGTGTGTCTCTGTGGGTCTCTGTGTGGGTCTCTGTGTGGGTCTCTGTGTGTGGGTCTGTGTGTGTGGGTCTCTGTGTGTGTGTGTCTCTGTGTGTGTGTGTCTCTGTGTGTCTCTGTATGTCTCTGTGTGTCTCTGTGTGTCTCTGTGTGTCTCTGTGTGTGCGTCTCTGTGTGTGCGTCTCTGTGTGTGTGTCTCTGTGTGTCTCTCTGTGTGTGTGTCTCTGTATGTCTCTGTGTGTCTCTTCGTGTCTCTGTGGGTCTCTGTGGGTCTCTGTGGGTCTCTTCGTGTCTCTTCGTGTCTCTGTGTGTCTCTGTGTGTCTCTGTGGGTTTCTCTGTGGGTCGCTGCTGCTGCTGCTGTGTGTGTGAATGGACGAGGTGGGCTGTTACGTGTGCACGGATACACAACAACACACACACACACACTCGTCAACACCAGGAAACCTGATTTGGTGCATGAGGAGGAGGTCACAGGACAGACCCTGCAGGTGCCATGGATTGTGCTGCTGTGCCAGGCTAGGTGCACGAGGAGGTCACAGGACAGACCCTGCAGTGTGCCATGGGTTGTGCTGCTGTGCCAGGCTAGGTGCACGAGGAGGAGGTCACAGGACAGACCCTGCAGTGTGCCATGGGTTGTGCTGCTGTGCCAGGCTAGGTGCACGAGGAGGAGGTCACGTGGACAGACCCTGCAGGTGCCATGGGTTGTGCTGCTGTGCCAGGCTAGGTGCATGAGGTCACAGGAAAGACCCTGCAGGTGCCATGGGTTGACTGAGATGACCGGTAGATGCACCACCACCTGTACCCCCTACTGTTTCAACGATGGCAACACATACACACAGAGATACAACAACAACAACCGCCATTCGCCACTAAGTGGCGGTGACGTCACCACGACGCTTGTGCCAGGCTATGTGCACCCTGAGGCTACCACGTGAAGTGTCGAACGCCCGCTGGCAGGAGGTCACGGGGCAGACCCAGCAGGTGCCACGGGTCGACTGACTGAGATGACTGGCTGATGCACCACCTGTGCCCCCTACTGTGCCAACCTGCTGTGCTTTAGCCACCCGGCGCTCCGCTCGATGAGATACACACACACAGAGATAAACACACAGTACACACACACAGTACACACAATACACACACAGTACACACACACACAGTGCACACACACACAGTACACACACAGTACTAACACAGTACACACACAGTACTAACACAGTATACACACAGTACACACACACAATGCACACACTGTACACACACTGTACACACAGTATACACACAGTACACACATACAGTACACACACATTACTAACACTACACACACACAGTACACACTACATACACAATACACACACACGCTACATACACAATACACACAGCACACACACAGTACATACACAATACACACAGTACATACACAGTACACACACAGTACAAATACAATACATACACAGTACACATACACAGTACACACACAGTACTAACACTACACACACAGTACACACACAGTACTAACATAGTACACAGTACACACACAGTACACACCCAGTATACACACACAGTACACTACACACACAGTACACACTACACACACAGAGTACACACATAGTACTAACACTACACACACACAGTACACACACAGTACTAACATAGTACACAGTACACACACAGTACACACCCAGTACTAACATAGTACACAGTACACACACAGTACACACCCAGTATACACACAGTACACTACACACACAGTACACACTACACACACAGAGTACACACATAGTACTAACACTACACACACACAGTACACACATAGTACTAACACTACACACAGTACACACACAGTACACACACACAATACACACACAGTACACACAATACACACAGTATACACACAGAGTACACACATAGTACTAACACTACACAGTACACACACAATACACAAACACAGTACTAACACTACACACACACAGTACTAACACTACACACAGTACTAACACTACACACAGTACTAACACTACACACACAGAGTACACACATAGTACTAACACTACACACACACAGTACACACACACAGTACACACACAATACACACACACAGTACTAACACAGTATACACACAGACACGGTAATAACGCAGCAACACACGCAGAGACTACAACACACACGTATTTAATTACGGCGTCACTATTATCAAACAATTAAAAACTAAACAGTAAACAGAGAGAGATGCGGGCCTGGTCACCGCCGACGAAGCCTCTCCCGCGTATCGCCGCTCGTACTCACCGAGACGCGAGACTTTTGTTCGTAAATATAATATTTGTTTGAACAAAACCGTGAACACGTTTCTTGTTTTACCTCAAAGTTAAGAGAAAAAAATCTAAAAAAAAATATTATCAAAGCCGCCCGTTTGAGGGAAATTTCAAAACCTAAATAACGGAGAGAGGATCTCGTGTTGGCGCCAAAATGCTGCTCCCTGATTGGCTACTCGCCGCCCACCGCTACTCTCCCTCCCTCTGGTCTCGCGAGATTTCGTTTTGAACGTCGGGAGTTGGGTTGTGGAGGGGGTCGGTTATGTAGTCTCGCGAGAGGTGAGATGGAGGGGGTGGGGAGTTTGGTTATGTAGTCTCGCGAGAGGTGAGATGGAGAGGGTGGGGGGGTTTGGTTATGTAGTCTCGCGAGAGGTCAGATGGAGGGGGGTGGGGTTTAGTCTCGCGAGAGGTGAGATGAAGGGGAATGGGGGGGATCGGTTATGTAGCCTCGCGAGAGGTGAGATGGAGAGGGTGGGGTGGTTGGGTCATGTAGTCTCGCGAGAGGTGAGATGGAGAGGGTGGGGGGGTTGGGTTATGTAGTCTCGCGAGAGGTGAGCTGAAGGGGGTGGTGGGGGGGGTCGGTTATGTAGCCTCGCGAGAGGTGAGTTGGAGGGGGTGGTCATGTAGTCTCGCGAGAGGTGAGATGGAGGGGGTGAGGGAGGGGTGGGGGGAGAAAGGAGGGGTGGTGGGGGAGGGGCGAGGGGGTGGAGCGAGAAGTCACGTGACCCACGTGGTACAGGAGGTAAACATAGCAGAACTTGCCCCGATAGGCCGTGCAAGGCTACACGGGGGGTCTTTGTCTTTGTTTAACCGGTGCGTCGGCCGCCTCCCCTAGGTCGACTCAGCCGTAAATGAATACGAAACAGAGACCCATAGACTCACCACACAGAGACCCATAGACTTACATAGAGACCCATAGACTCACCACCACACAGAGACCCATAGACTCATCATCACACAGAGACCCATAGACTCATCACCACACAGAGACCCATAGACTCATCATCACACAGAGACCCATAGACTCATCACCACACAGAGACCCATAGACTCATCATCACACAGAGACCCATAGACTCATCACCACACAGAGACCCATAGACTCATCATCACACAAAGACCCATAGACTCACCATCACACAGAGACCCATAGACTCATCACCACACAGAGACCCATAGACTCATCACCACACAGAGACCCACAGACTCACCACCACACAGAGACCCATAGACTCACCACACAGAGACCCATAGACTCATCACACAGAGACCCATAGACTCATTATCACACAGAGACCCATAGACTCATCACCACCACACAGAGACCCATAGACTCACCACCACACAGAGACCCATAGACTCACCACCACACAGAGACCCACAGACTCACCACCACCACACAGAGACCCATAGACTCACCACCACACAGAGACCCATAGACTCATCACCACACAGAGACCCATAGACTCATCACCACACAGAGACCCATAGACTTGATCCCATGACGTCACTTCCGTCCCCGCTCCTTCCTCTCCATCAACCCCTACACAACATGGCGGCGGCGGTCCAGGCCTCGTTACGTTTCTCGCGGCCTCTGCTACCACCACCACCGCTGCTGCTGCTGCGGCTGCTGCGGCGGCCCCTCTCCTGCGCGGCCCCGTCGCGATCCTCGCCGCGGCCACGGCCGCAGCCGTCACGGCCGCTCGCGCGCGACGAGAGGCGAGCTTCGGCCCGGCGCCTAGGCCTCGGCATGCTAGGCCTCGGTCTGGGCTGGAACTTGGCCCGGTTCGCGCGCGTCGGCTCGGCGGGCTGCGCGGGCGAGGCCGAGGCCGCGCCGCCTCGGGAGCCGGGGTCGCCTCGCGCGAGTTTCAACTTCATAGCGGATGCGGTGCAGAAAGCGGCTCCTGCCGTGGTTTACATCGAAATATTGGGCAGGTGGTGTGGTGCACCTAGCCTGGCACTCACTCGTACACTCACTTATACACTCACTTATACACTCATACACTCACTCACTGATACACTCACTAATACACTCACTCACTGATACACTCACCCATACACTCACTCACTCATACACTCACTCACTCATACACTCACTCACTCATACACTCACTCACTCATACACTCACTCACTCATACACTCACTCACTCATACACTCACTCACTCATACACTCACTCACTCATACACTCACTCACTCATACACTCACTCACTCATACACTCACTCACTCATACACTCACTCACTCATACACTCACTCACTCATACACTCACTCACTCATACACTCACTCACTCATACACTCACTCACTCATACACTCACTCATACACTCACTCATTCACTCACTCATACACTCACTCATACACTCACTCATACACTCACTCACTCATACACTCACTCACTCATACACTCACTCATACACTCACTCATACACTCACTTATACACACACTCATACACTCACACACTCACTCATACACTCACTCATACACTCACTCACACACTCACTCACACACTCACTCATACACTCACACACTCGTACACTCACTCATACACTCACACACTCACTCATGCACTCACTCATACACTCACTCATACACTCACACACTCACTCATGCACTCACTCATACACTCACTCATACACTCACACACTCACTCATACACTCACACACTCACTCATACACTCACTCACTCACTCATACACTCACTCACTCATACACTCACTCACACACTCACTCACTCATACACTCACTCATACACTCACTCATACACTCACTCACTCATACACTCACTCATACACTCACTCACACACTCACTCACTCATACACTCACTCACTCATACACTCACTCATACACTCACTCATTCACTCACTCATACACTCACTCACTCACTCATACACTCACTCATACACTCACTCACACACTCACTCATACACTCACTCACTCATACACTCACTCATATACTCACTCACTCATACACTCACTCACTCATACACTCACTCATACACTCACTCACTCATACACTCACTCATACACTCACTCATACACTCACTCATACACTCACTCATACACTCACCATCTCACCCACTAAATTTGCCCACGCGCTATCTAGCTCTCTCTCTCGCCTTATGTCCCTCTCCTTTATCTCTCTCTTGTCTCTCTCTTGTCTCTCTCTTGTCTCTCTCTTGTCTCTCTTGTCTCTCTCTTATCTCTCTCTTATCTCTCTCTTATCTCTCTCCCTTATCTCTTATCTCAGGCAGGTGTTGACGGGGAAGGAGGTGGCCGTGTCCAGTGGCTCCGGCTTCATCGTGACCACCGACGGACTGGTAGTCACCAACGCCCACTCTCTTATCTCTCTCTCTTATCTCTCTCTTATCTCTCTCTCTTATCTCAGGCAGGCGTTGACGGGGAAGGAGGTGGCCGTGTCCAGTGGCTCCGGCTTCATCGTGACCACCGACGGACTGGTAGTCACCAACGCCCACTCCCTTATCTCTCTCTCTTATCTCTCCCTTATCTCTCCCTTATCTCTCCCTTATCTGTTATCTCAGGCAGGCGTTGACAGGGAAGGAGGTGGCCGTGTCCAGTGGCTCCGGCTTCATCGTCACCGCCGACGGACTGGTAGTCACCAACGCCCACTCTCTTATCTCTCTCTTATCTCTCTCTTATCTCTCTCTTATCTCTCTCTCTTATCTCTTATCCCAGGCAGGCGTTGACGGGGAAGGAGGTGGCCGTGTCCAGTGGCTCCGGCTTCATCGTGACCACCGACGGACTGGTAGTCACCAACGCCCACTCCCTTATCTCTCTCCCTTATCTCTCTTATCTCTCTCCCTTATCTCTCTCTTATCTCTCTCCCTTATCTCTCCCTTATCTCTCCCTTATCTCTTATCCCAGGCAGGCGTTGACGGGGAAGGAGGTGGCCGTGTCCAGTGGCTCCGGCTTCATCGTGACCACCGACGGACTGGTAGTCACCAACGCCCACTCTCTTATCTCTCTCTTATCTCTCCCTTATCTCTCTCTTATCTCTCTCTTATCTCTCCCTTATCTGTTATCTCAGGCAGGCGTTGACGGGGAAGGAGGTGGCCGTGTCCAGTGGCTCCGGCTTCATCGTGACCACCGACGGACTGGTAGTCACCAACGCCCACTCCCTTATCTCTCTCTTATCTCTCTCTTATCTCTCTCCCTTATCTCTTATCCCAGGCAGGCATTGACGGGGAAGGAGGTGGCCGTGTCCAGTGGCTCCGGCTTCATCGTGACCACCGACGGACTGGTAGTCACCAACGCCCACTCCCTTATCTCTCTCCCTTATCTCTCTCTTATCTCTCCCTTATCTCTTATCTCAGGCAGGCGTTGACGGGGAAGGAGGTGGCCGTGTCTAGTGGCTCCGGCTTCATCGTGACCACCGACGGACTGGTAGTCACCAACGCCCACTCTCTTATCTCTCTCTTATCTCTCTCTTATCTCTCTCCCTTATCTCTTATCCCAGGCAGGCGTTGACGGGGAAGGAGGTGGCCGTGTCCAGTGGCTCCGGCTTCATCGTGACCACCGACGGACTGGTAGTCACCAACGCCCACTCTCTTATCTCTCTCCCTTATCTCTCTCTTATCTCTCTCCCTTATCTCTCTCTTATCTCTCCCTTATCTCTCTCTTATCTCTCTCTTATCTCTCTCTTATCTCTCTCTTATCTCTCCCTTATCTCTCTCTTATCTCTCTCTTATCTCTCTCTTATCTCTCTCTCTTATCTCTCTCTTGTCTCTCTCTTGTCTCTCTCTTGTCTCTCTCTTATCTTTCTCTTATCTCTCTCTGTTATCTCTCTTATCTCTCTTATCTCTCTCCCTTATCTCTCTCTTATCTCTCCCTTATCTCTCCCTTATCTGTTATCCCAGGCAGGCGTTGACGGGGAAGGAGATGGCCGTGTCCAGTGGCTCCGGCTTCATCGTGACCACCGACGGACTGGTAGTCACCAACGCCCACTCTCTTATCTCTCTCCCTTATCTCTCTCCCTTATCTCTCCCTTATCTCTCTCTTATCTCAGGCAGGCGTTGACGGGGAAGGAGATGGCCGTGTCCAGTGGCTCCGGCTTCATCGTGACCGCCGACGGACTGGTAGTCACCAACGCCCACTCCCTTATCTCTCTCTCCCTTATCTCTCCCTTATCTCTTATCCCAGGCAGGCGTTGACGGGGAAGGAGGTGGCCGTGTCCAGTGGCTCCGGCTTCATCGTGACCGCCGACGGACTGGTAGTCACCAACGCCCACTCCCTTATCTCTCTCCCTTATCTCTCTCTTATCTCTCTCCCTTATCTCTTATCTCAGGCAGGCGTTGACGGGGAAGGAGGTGGCCGTGTCCAGTGGCTCCGGCTTCATCGTGACCGCCGACGGACTGGTAGTCACCAACGCCCACTCTCTTATCTCTCTCTTATCTCTCTCTTATCTCTCTCTTATCTCTCCCTTGTCTCTCTCTTATCTCTCTCTCTTATCTCTCTCTCTTATCTCTCTCTTGTCTCTCTCTTGTCTCTCTCTTGTCTCTCTCTTGTCTCTCTCTTATCTCTCTCTGTTATCTCTCTTATCTCTCTCATCTCTCTCCCTTATCTCTCTCTTATCTCTCCCTTATCTCTCCCTTATCTGTTATCCCAGGCAGGCGTTGACGGGGAAGGAGATGGCCGTGTCCAGTGGCTCCGGCTTCATCGTGACCGCCGACGGACTGGTAGTCACCAACGCCCACTCTCTTATCTCTCTCTTATCTCTCTCTTATCTCTCTCCCTTATCTCTTATCCCAGGCAGGCGTTGACGGGGAAGGAGATGGCCGTGTCCAGTGGCTCCGGCTTCATCGTGACCGCCGACGGACTGGTAGTCACCAACGCCCACTCCCTTATCTCTCTCCCTTATCTCTCTCTTATCTCTCTCCCTTATCTCTTATCCCAGGCAGGCGTTGACGGGGAAGGAGGTGGCCGTGTCCAGTGGCTCCGGCTTCATCGTGACCGCCGACGGACTGGTAGTCACCAACGCCCACTCCCTTATCTCTCTCCCTTATCTCTCTCTTATCTCTCTCTCTTATCTCTCCCTTATCTCTTATCTCAGGCAGGCGTTGACGGGGAAGGAGGTGGCCGTGTCCAGTGGCTCCGGCTTCATCGTGACCGCCGACGGACTGGTAGTCACCAACGCCCACTCTCTTATCTCTCTCTTATCTCTCTCCCTTATCTCTCTCTTATCTCTCTCTTATCTCTCTCCCTTATCTCTCTCTTATCTCTCTCTCTCTTATCTCTCTCTTATCTCTCTCTTATCTCTCTCTTATCTCTCTCCCTTATCTCTCTCTTATCTCTCTCTCTCTTATCTCTCTCTTATCTCTCTCTTATCTCTCTCTCTCTTATCTCTCCCTTATCTCTCTCCCTTATCTCTTATCCCAGGCAGGCGTTGACGGGGAAGGAGGTGGCCGTGTCCAGTGGCTCCGGCTTCATCGTGACCGCCGACGGACTGGTAGTCACCAACGCCCACTCTCTTATCTCTCTCTTATCTCTCTCTTATCTCTCTCTCTTGTCTCTCTCTTATCTCTCTCTTATCTCTCTCCCTTATCTCTTATCCCAGGCAGGCGTTGACGGGGAAGGAGGTGGCCGTGTCCAGTGGCTCCGGCTTCATCGTGACCGCCGACGGACTGGTAGTCACCAACGCCCACTCTCTTATCTCTCTCCCTTATCTGTTATCCCAGGCAGGCGTTGACGGGGAAGGAGGTGGCCGTGTCCAGTGGCTCCGGCTTCATCGTGACCACCGACGGACTGGTAGTCACCAACGCCCACTCTCTTATCTCTCTCCCTTATCTCTCTCTTATCTCTCTCTTATCTCTCTCTTATCTCTCCCTTGTCTCTCTCTTATCTCTCTCTCTCTTATCTCTCTCTCTTATCTCTCTCTTGTCTCTCTCTTGTCTCTCTCTTGTCTCTCTCTTGTCTCTCTCTTGTCTCTCTCTTGTCTCTCTCTTATCTTTCTCTTATCTCTCCCTTATCTCTCTCTTATCTCTCTCTTGTCTCTGTCTTGTCTCTCTCTTATCTCTCTCCCTTATCTCTCCCTTATCTCTCCCTTATCTCTCTCCCTTATCTCTCCCTTATCTGTTATCCCAGGCAGGCGTTGACGGGGAAGGAGGTGGCCGTGTCCAGTGGCTCCGGCTTCATCGTGACCGCCGACGGACTGGTAGTCACCAACGCCCACTCTCTTATCTCTCTCCCTTATCTCTCTCTTATCTCTCTCCCTTATCTGTTATCCCAGGCAGGCGTTGACGGGGAAGGAGGTGGCCGTGTCCAGTGGCTCCGGCTTCATCGTGACCGCCGACGGACTGGTAGTCACCAACGCCCACTCTCTTATCTCTCTCCCTTATCTCTCTCTTATCTCTCTCCCTTATCTCTCTCCCTTATCTCTCTCTTATCTCTCTGTCTCTTATCTCTCTCCCTTATCTGTTATCCCAGGCAGGCGTTGACGGGGAAGGAGGTGGCCGTGTCCAGTGGCTCCGGCTTCATCGTGACCGCCGACGGACTGGTAGTCACCAACGCCCACTCTCTTATCTCTCTCCCTTATCTCTCTCCCTTATCTCTCTCCCTTATCTCTTATCCCAGGCAGGCGTTGACGGGGAAGGAGGTGGCCGTGTCCAGTGGCTCCGGCTTCATCGTGACCACCGAAGGTCTGGTAGTCACCAACGCCCACTCCCTTATCTCTCTCCCTTATCTCTCCCTTATCTCTCTCTCTTATCTCTCTCTCTTATCTGTTATCCCATGCAGGCGTTGACGGGGAAGGAGGTGGCCGTGTCCAGTGGCTCCGGCTTCATCGTGACCGCCGACGGACTGGTAGTCACCAACGCCCACTCTCTTATCTCTCTCTTATCTCTCTCCCTTATCTCTCCCTTATCTCTCTCTTATCTCTCTCTTATCTCTCTCCCTTATCTCTCTCTTGTCTCTCTCTTATCTCTCTCTTATCTCTCTCCCTTATCTCTTATCCCAGGCAGGCGTTGACGGGGAAGGAGGTGGCCGTGTCCAGTGGCTCCGGCTTCATCGTGACCGCCGACGGACTGGTAGTCACCAACGCCCACTCTCTTATCTCTCCCTTATCTGTTATCCCAGGCAGGCGTTGACGGGGAAGGAGGTGGCCGTGTCCAGTGGCTCCGGCTTCATCGTGACCGCCGACGGACTGGTAGTCACCAACGCCCACTCTCTTATCTCTCTCCCTTATCTCTCTCTTATCTCTCTCCCTTATCTCTCCCTTATCTCTCTCCCTTATCTCTCCCTTATCTGTTATCTCAGGCAGGCGTTGACGGGGAAGGAGGTGGCCGTGTCCAGTGGCTCCGGCTTCATCGTGACCGCCGACGGACTGGTAGTCACCAACGCCCACGTTGTGTCAGCCGCCCGTCGCTCGTTGATCCGCGTGCGTCTGCATGGCGGCGAGGAGCTGCGTGCGGACGTGCTGGCGATGGACGAGCACACGGACGTGGCCCTGCTGAGGGTTCATGCCGGGGTGAGCGGGCGGTGGTGGTGGGTGGGGTGGAGGGGTAGGGGGAGAGGGGGTTGGTGGCGGTGGGTCGAGCGTAGACTCACCGGGTGGGTCAGCCAGTCAGTCAGTCAGTCACTCAGTCAGTCATCCAATCACTGACTCAGTCAGCCACTCACTCGGCCACTCAGCCACTCAGCCACTCATCCACTCATTCACTCACTCACTCAGTCAGTCATCCAATCACTGACTCAGTCAGCCACTCACTCGGCCACTCGGCCACTCAGCCACTCATCCACTCATTCACTCACTCACTCAGTCAGTCATCCAATCACTGACTCAGTCAGCCACTCACTCGCCCACTCAGCCACTCAGCCACTCATCCACTCATTCACTCACTCACTCAGTCAGTCATCCAATCACTGACTCAGTCAGCCACTCACTCGGCCACTCAGCCACTCAGCCACTCATCCACTCATTCACTCACTCACTCAGTCAGTCATCCAATCACTGACTCAGTCAGCCACTCACTCGGCCACTCGGCCACTCAGCCACTCATCCACTCATCCACTCACTCACTCAGTCAGTCATGCACTCACTGACTCAGTCAGCCACTCACTCGGCCACTCGGCCACTCAGCCACTCATCCACTCATTCACTCACTCACTCAGTCAGTCATCCAATCACTGACTCAGTCAGCCACTCACTCGGCCACTCAGCCACTCAGCCACTCATCCACTCATTCACTCACTCACTCAGTCAGTCATCCAATCACTGACTCAGTCAGCCACTCACTCGGCCACTCAGCCACTCAGCCACTCATCCACTCATTCACTCACTCACTCAGTCAGTCATCCAATCACTGACTCAGTCAGCCACTCACTCGGCCACTCGGCCACTCAGCCACTCATCCACTCATTCACTCACTCACTCAGTCAGTCATCCAATCACTGACTCAGTCAGCCACTCACTCGGCCACTCAGCCACTCAGCCACTCATCCACTCATTCACTCACTCACTCAGTCAGTCATCCAATCACTGACTCAGTCAGCCACTCACTCGGCCACTCAGCCACTCAGCCACTCATCCACTCATTCACTCACTCACTCAGTCAGTCATCCAATTACTGACTCAGTCAGCCACTCACTCGCCCACTCAGCCACTCAGCCACTCATCCACTCATTCACTCACTCACTCAGTCAGTCATCCAATCACTGACTCAGTCAGCCACTCACTCGGCCACTCAGCCACTCAGCCACTCATCCACTCATTCACTCACTCACTCAGTCAGTCATCCAATCACTGACTCAGTCAGCCACTCACTCGGCCACTCAGCCACTCAGCCACTCATTCACTCACTCACTCAGTCAGTCATCCAATCACTGACTCAGTCAGCCACTCACTCGCCCACTCAGCCACTCAGCCACTCATCCACTCATTCACTCACTCACTCAGTCAGTCATCCAATCACTGACTCAGTCAGCCACTCACTCGGCCACTCAGCCACTCAGCCACTCATCCACTCATTCACTCACTCACTCAGTCAGTCATCCAATCACTGACTCAGTCAGCCACTCACTCGCCCACTCAGCCACTCAGCCACTCATCCACTCATTCACTCACTCACTCAGCCACTCATCCACTCATTCACTGACTGACTCAGCCAGCTACTCACTCACCCACTCACTCACTCAACCAGTCATCCACTCACTGACTCAGCCAGCCACTCACTCAGCCAGCCACTCACTCAGCCAGCCACTCACTCACCCACTCATCCACTCACTCACTCAGCCAGCCACTCACTCAGCCACTCATCCACCCACTCACTCACTCAGCCACTCAGCCAGTCACTCACTCACTCAGCCACTCACTCATCCACTCACTCACCCACTCACTCACTCACTCATACACTCACTCACCCACTCACTCACTCACCCACTCACCCACTCACTCACTCAGCCACTCTCCCACTCACCCACTCACTCACCCACCCACTCACTCACTCACTCACCCACTCACCCACTCACTCACTCAGCCACTCTCCCACTCACCCACTCACTCACCCACCCACTCACTCACTCACTCACCCACCCACTCATCCACTCACTCACTCATCCACCCACTCACTCACCCACTCACTCACTCACTCACCCACTCACTCACCCACCCACCCTCTCACTCACTCACCCACTCACTCACCCACTCGCTCACCCACTCACTCACCCACTCACCCACTCACTCACCCACTCACCCACCCACCCTCTCACTCACTTACCCACTCACCCACTCACTCACCCACTCACTCACCCACTCACTCACCCACTCACTCACCCACTCACTCACTCACTCACCCACTCACTCACCCACTCACTCACGCACTCACTCACTCACTCACCCATCCACTCACTCACCCACCCATTCACCCACTCACTCACCCATCCATCCACTCACTCACCCACTCACTCAGACACTCACTCACTTACCCACCCACTCACTCACCCACTCACCCACTCACCCACCCACTCACTCACTCACCCACTCACTCACCCACTCACCCATCCACTCACTCACCCACTAACCCACTCACCAACTCATACACCCACTCACTCACCTCCCCCCCCTCTCCCTTCCCCCCCCCCCCCTCCCCCCCCCCGCACGACGTTCAGCGCGACCTCCCCATCCTGCCGCTGGGGCGCTCCCGAAACGTCCGCCCGGGCGAGTTTGTGGTGGCTCTGGGCAGCCCATTCTCACTGCAGAACACCATCACAGCGGGGATAGTGAGCTCCGTGCACCGTGGATCTCGTGAGCTGGGGCTCCACTCGGACATCGACTACATCCAGACAGACGCAGCCATCAACGTGAGACACAGAGACACAGAGAGAGAGACACAGAGACACAGAGACACACAGAGAGAGAGACACAGAGACACAGAGAGAGAGACACAGAGAGAGACACCATCACAGCGGGGATAGTGAGCTCCGTGCATCGTGGATCTCACGAGCTGGGGCTCCACTCGGACATCGACTACATCCAGACAGACGCAGCCATCAACGTGAGACACAGACACAGAGACACAGAGACACAGAGACAGAGAGAGAGAGAGACACAGAGACACAGAGAGACACAGAGAGACACAGAGAGACACAGAGACACAGAGAGAGACACAGAGACACAGAGAGAGACACCATCACAGCGGGGATAGTGAGCTCCGTGCACCGTGGATCTCGTGAGCTGGGGCTCCACTCGGACATCGACTACATCCAGACAGACGCAGCCATCAACGTGAGACACAGAGACACAGAGAGAGAGACACAGAGACACAGAGAGAGACACAGAGACACAGAGAGAGACACCATCACAGCGGGGATAGTGAGCTCCGTGCACCGTGGATCTCGTGAGCTGGGGCTCCACTCGGACATCGACTACATCCAGACAGACGCAGCCATCAACGTGAGACACAGAGACACAGAGAGAGAGACACAGAGACACAGAGAGAGACACAGAGACACAGAGAGAGACACCATCACAGCGGGGATAGTGAGCTCCGTGCACCGTGGATCTCGTGAGCTGGGGCTCCACTCGGACATCGACTACATCCAGACAGACGCAGCCATCAACGTGAGACATAGACACAGAGAGAGAGACACAGAGAGAGACACAGAGAGAGAGACAGAGACACAGAGAGAGACAGAGAGAGACACAGACACAGAGAGAGACACAGAGACACAGAGAGAGACACCATCACAGCGGGGATAGTGAGCTCCGTGCACCGTGGATCTCGTGAGCTGGGGCTCCACTCGGACATCGACTACATCCAGACAGACGCAGCCATCAACGTGAGACATAGACACAGAGAGAGAGACACAGAGAGAGACACAGAGAGAGAGACAGAGACACAGAGAGAGACAGAGAGAGACACAGACACAGAGAGAGACACAGAGAGAGAGAGACACCATCACAGCGGGGATAGTGAGCTCCGTGCACCGTGGATCTCGTGAGCTGGGGCTCCACTCGGACATCGACTACATCCAGACAGACGCAGCCATCAACGTGAGACACAGAGACACAGAGAGAGAGACACAGAGACACAGAGAGAGACACAGAGACACAGAGAGAGACACCATCACAGCGGGGATAGTGAGCTCCGTGCACCGTGGATCTCGTGAGCTGGGGCTCCACTCGGACATCGACTACATCCAGACAGACGCAGCCATCAACGTGAGACATAGACACAGAGAGAGAGACACAGAGAGAGACACAGAGAGAGAGACAGAGACACAGAGAGAGACAGAGAGAGACACAGACACAGAGAGAGACACAGAGAGAGAGAGACACCATCACAGCGGGGATAGTGAGCTCCGTGCACCGTGGATCTCGTGAGCTGGGGCTCCACTCGGACATCGACTACATCCAGACAGACGCAGCCATCAACGTGAGACATAGACACAGAGAGAGAGACACAGAGAGAGACACAGAGAGAGAGACAGAGACACAGAGAGAGACAGAGAGAGACACAGACACAGAGAGAGACACAGAGACACAGAGAGAGACACCATCACAGCGGGGATAGTGAGCTCCGTGCACCGTGGATCTCGTGAGCTGGGGCTCCACTCGGACATCGACTACATCCAGACAGACGCAGCCATCAACGTGAGACATAGACACAGAGAGAGAGACACAGAGAGAGACACAGAGAGAGAGACAGAGACACAGAGAGAGACAGAGAGAGACACAGACACAGAGAGAGACACAGAGAGAGAGAGACACCATCACAGCGGGGATAGTGAGCTCCGTGCACCGTGGATCTCGTGAGCTGGGGCTCCACTCGGACATCGACTACATCCAGACAGACGCAGCCATCAACGTGAGACACAGAGACACAGAGAGAGAGACACAGAGACACAGAGAGAGACACAGAGACACAGAGAGAGACACCATCACAGCGGGGATAGTGAGCTCCGTGCACCGTGGATCTCGTGAGCTGGGGCTCCACTCGGACATCGACTACATCCAGACAGACGCAGCCATCAACGTGAGACATAGACACAGAGAGAGAGACACAGAGAGAGACACAGAGAGAGAGACAGAGACACAGAGAGAGACAGAGAGAGACACAGACACAGAGAGAGACACAGAGAGAGAGAGACACCATCACAGCGGGGATAGTGAGCTCCGTGCACCGTGGATCTCGTGAGCTGGGGCTCCACTCGGACATCGACTACATCCAGACAGACGCAGCCATCAACGTGAGACATAGACACAGAGAGAGAGACACAGAGAGAGACACAGAGAGAGAGACAGAGACACAGAGAGAGACAGAGAGAGACACAGACACAGAGAGAGACACAGAGAGAGAGAGACACCATCACAGCGGGGATAGTGAGCTCCGTGCACCGTGGATCTCGTGAGCTGGGGCTCCACTCGGACATCGACTACATCCAGACAGACGCAGCCATCAACGTGAGACACAGAGACACAGAGAGAGACACAGAGACACAGAGAGACAGAGAGACACAGAGAGAGAGAGACACCATCACAGCGGGGATAGTGAGCTCCGTGCACCGTGGATCTCGTGAGCTGGGGCTCCACTCGGACATCGACTACATCCAGACAGACGCAGCCATCAACGTGAGACAGAGACACAGAGACACAGAGACACAGAGAGAGACACAGACAGAGACACACAGAGACACAGAGAGAGACACAGAGACACAGAGAGAGACACAGAGACACAGAGACACAGAGAGAGACACAGGGAGACAGAGAGAGACACCATCACAGCGGGGATAGTGAGCTCCGTGCACCGTGGATCTCGTGAGCTGGGGCTCCACTCGGACATCGACTACATCCAGACAGACGCAGCCATCAACGTGAGACAGAGACACAGAGACACAGAGACACAGAGAGAGACACAGAGACACAGAGAGAGACAGAGAGACACAGAGACACAGAGAGAGACACAGGGAGACAGAGAGAGACACCATCACAGCGGGGATAGTGAGCTCCGTGCACCGTGGATCTCGTGAGCTGGGGCTCCACTCGGACATCGACTACATCCAGACAGACGCAGCCATCAACGTGAGACAGAGACACATAGACACAGAGAGACACAGAGACACAGGGAGACAGAGAGAGACACCATCACAGCGGGGATAGTGAGCTCCGTGCACCGTGGATCTCACGAGCTGGGGCTCCACTCGGACATCGACTACATCCAGACAGACGCAGCCATCAACGTGAGACACAGACACAGAGACACAGAGAGAGACACAGAGACACAGAGAGAGACACAGAGAGAGACACAGAGACACAGAGAGAGAGACACAGAGAGACAGAGAGAGACACAGAGACACAGAGAGAGACACAGGGAGACAGAGAGAGACACCATCACAGCGGGGATAGTGAGCTCCGTGCACCGTGGATCTCACGAGCTGGGGCTCCACTCGGACATCGACTACATCCAGACAGACGCAGCCATCAACGTGAGACACAGAGACACAGAGAGAGACACAGAGACACAGAGACACAGAGAGAGACACAGAGAGAGAGACACAGACACACAGAGAGAGACACAGAGACACACAGAGACACAGAGAGACAGAGACACAGAGAGAGACACCATCACAGCGGGGATAGTGAGCTCCGTGCACCGTGGATCTCGTGAGCTGGGGCTCCACTCGGACATCGACTACATCCAGACAGACGCAGCCATCAACGTGAGACAGAGACACAGAGACACAGAGACACAGAGACACAGAGAGACACAGAGAGAGACACAGAGAGAGAGACACAGAGAGACACAGAGACAAGAGAGAGACACCATCACAGCGGGGATAGTGAGCTCCGTGCACCGTGGATCTCGTGAGCTGGGGCTCCACTCGGACATCGACTACATCCAGACAGACGCAGCCATCAACGTGAGACACAGAGACACACAGAGAGACACAGAGAGACACAGAGGCACAGACACACAGAGAGACAGAGAGACACAGAGAGAGACACAGAGACACAGAGACATAGAGACACAAAGAGAGACACAGAGACAGAGAGACAGACACAGAGACACAGAGAGACAGAGAGACACAGAGAGACACAGAGAGAGACACAGAGACACACGGAGAGAGACACAGAGACACAGAGAGAGACACAGGGAGACAGAGAGAGACACCATCACAGCGGGGATAGTGAGCTCCGTGCACCGTGGATCTCGTGAGCTGGGGCTCCACTCGGACATCGACTACATCCAGACAGACGCAGCCATCAACGTGAGACAGAGACACAGAGAGAGACACAGAGACACAGAGACACAGAGACACAGAGACACAGAGAGACACAGACACACAGAGACAGAGACACAGAGACAGAGAGACACACAGAGACAGAGAGAGACACAGAGACAGAGACAGAGAGAGAGAGAGACAGAGACACAGAGACAGAGAGACACAGAGACACAGAGACACAGAGACAGAGAGAGAGACACAGAGACAGAGAGACACAGAGAGAGACACAGAGACAGAAACACACAGACACAGACAGAGAGACAGAGAGACAGAGAGAGACACAGAAACACACAGACACAGAGAGAGAGACAGAGAGACAGAGAGAGACACAGAGACACAGAGAGAGACACAGAGACACAGAGACACACAGAGAGAGACACCATCACAGCGGGGATAGTGAGCTCCGTGCACCGTGGATCTCGTGAGCTGGGGCTCCACTCGGACATCGACTACATCCAGACAGACGCAGCCATCAACGTGAGACAGAGACACAGAGACACAGAGAGACACAGAGAGACACAGAGAGAGACACAGAGAGACACAGAGAGACACAGAGACACAGAGAGAGAGACACAGAG